TATTTTTATTTGAGCTGTATTATAGTATTATATTTTAATTTCTCTAAACTAAAACTAAAAATCTCAATTTTTTAAAAGACCTGGGATGCAACCCAAGGCCTCATGCATGCCGAGCAAGTGCTCTACACTGACCTAAATCCCCAGCCCCCGCAAATCTCAGAAGTTTGTGTCTTTTAGCACAAAGACCCATCTCATGACACACAGGAAGGCTGTGGAGCTCCTCCAAATTTTCCTTTTAGAAAGACATTAATGTAAAAGTTCCACCTTCTCTAACTTCCCAAAGATCTGAAATCCTGGGAGATAAGAAATCAATAGCTCTGAGAAACACTGCACATTCTAGCAGACAGAATATTCATAGCAACCTTTCAGTAAGGCTAAAGGTTCCTACAGCTCTGCACAAATATGCTAGATCACATCCAGCAGCAAGCACAAAAAGTCAATAAGGCAAAGATTTTAATGTGTTCAATGACAATCATGACACACAGACTTGATATCTTATGCAAACTGAGAAGGAAAAGAAGCTGCATCTAGGAGGTTTTGCCACTCTACATTTTTGCCACCCTTTTTAAATTTGGCAGATATGTTTAAAGAGATTGAGCCCTCAGTTTATGGAGGAAAGAACAGGACTGATTCCATCAGCACTCAATGATGTTTGAAGATCATTTATGTCACCCCTCCCCTCACCTTCAGGACTCGATACACTTCCTGCAGCACTTGTTCTTTATCAGGCACAAGGTTAATAACACAATTGGATCTGAAAAAAGAAAAGATGTTAAAGAACTCAAATCTTTTATGTTCCTAAAGGTGGTTCCCATTTCGTCAAAACTACACCATTCTTCTGAATGCCCTCTTCCTCTCTTCCCTGCACTCAACTTTTTTTGCAAGGTAAGGGAGATAGGGAGTGTTTAAAATTCCAACTATTATCAAGTAAGAATGTACAGAAAAAAATAGGAGGCACTGCTGGGTGAGTGGCACACACATATAATCCCAGCAATTTGGGAGACTGAAGCAGGAGGACTGCAAATTCAAGGCCAGCCTCAGCAATGTAAAATAAATGTCTCCAAATAAAAAATACAAAAGGGCTGGGGATGTGGCTCAGTGGTTAAGTGCCCCTGGGTTCAATCCCTGGTTGTATAAATACATAAATAGGGCTGGGGATGTTGTTCAGTGGTAGAATATGCCTCCTTCAATCCCTAGTACACAAAAAACAGAAAAGAGAGAAAGAGAAAAAAAGGAGGCAGGGTTCTTATTTGTTTTGCCCTAATGCTAAACAAGCAACAAGATGAAACCTGGGACCAGCATTTCTTAAGCCACAAGTGAATAAACTAAGTTCCTTGATGGCAGCTCTCCTAACTAATGCTGTCACTTAGGTATGATTTGACAACTCAGAGAAAAACAAGAAAACACAGAATCCTACAATTTGCCATCAAAATACTACGGTCATGAGCCATATAATATTTTGGGGGATAGATACACTACATACATTTAATATGATGGTGGTCTCATAAGGTTATAATTGAACTGAAAATTCCTATTGCCTAGTGACATTATAGCCATAGTAACATAGCACAACACACTACTGGTGTGTTTGTGGTGATGCTGGTATCAAACCTACTGCACTCATATAAAAACAGAGCCCAAACAATTGTATATAGCGCATGGTACCTGATAATAATAATGAACAACAGTGTTATTGGTTTATGTATTTACTGTACTATTGATTATTAGCATATACTCTTACTTAACAAAAAAGACGTTAAATATAAAATGGTATGCCACATTACCCCAGCAGCAGCCTCATACATTTCCTCTGTACCTTATCTCCATCACATCATTTTTTTCATATGCTGGATTTCATCTCATGTTGCTTTGTTCATCTTGGCCCCAGGCTCAATAGGCTATTCACAATGAGGAAATTGCCTACAGTGCATTTTTCAGAATGTGTTCTGTCATTAAGAAGCCTGTGACTCTACTAAAGATAGTAGGTCAGTGTGTGTTGTATGAGCAGATTTGGTTCAGCTGATTTTTTGGGTTCACTGGATTATGGTTTGGTTTAAAGTAAATTATCTTGAGCTAGTGTGTTCTGCTGCCAATGGACCATGAGCAACTCAGATCAGTTTCTTTCCTTAATGAGGTCATGCTAAGTTTAGTTTTGTGCCCTAAGTGAGAGTCAGTTCAGCAAAAAGTGGTGGCATTTGTGTGTTCTACAGGAAATAGGCTTTACTCATAACTATAAGGATATAGGCCTACATAACAATATCGTAACTCTCATTCTGAATTCCAGCTTCTGCCAACTTCTCAATGTAGCCATGAATAAAAGTCACATTGGATGTCTGGAAGCCATATTTTTCCATGTGATAGTCAAGGTATTTTTTAGCCACTTCTACCTAAAGGAAAAAAAAATATAAATTTCATTATCAACATTTTTTAAAAATACCACATTTTCTCTAAAATTTTACTATTACTAGTGAAATACTCTTTCCCAAGAAGTATATTTCTTTCTTCTTTTTTTGGGGGGAGAAGCTTTATTTTTTAAAATTTGTTCTTCTTAGATGTACATGACAGTAGAGTGTATTTTGACATTATATATACATGGAGTATAACATTCTAATTAGGATCCCACTCTTGTGGTTGAACACGAAGTGGAGTTACATTGGTCTTTTATTCATATATGGGCATGGGAAAGTTCTGTCCTATTCTTACTACTGTCTTTCCTATTCCCATACCCCTCCTTTCTCTTTATTCCCCTTTGTCTAATCCAGTTAACTTCTATTCTTCCCTCCCCAGCTTTCTTGTATTCTTGGATAAGTATGCAAGATTCCTATTGACCTTGAAGGATATGCTACATACTAGCACATAAACTCTCAGTTACATGGGTCTTGCTTGAATAACCCCTTCATTCAATGGTAATCTTTCAAGTCAGATTGCAGAAGGAAAGAAAAGATGGAACTTCATTGGGTCATCATGATATTCATATATCAGATCAAATCTCTGGCTTTGTATTCTCTCAGAAGAGCCGCTAATGGTCAAAGTCTTCAGCTTCCAGGACAAGAGGCACTAAAGGCACAATTGATCATTGCTAAATAGCCACCTTTTAAAATTATCCCTAGAGTCACAAAGGAACCAACTTCATCCCTCCAAGAATGCACTGGAGAATTCTTTCCTCCTTGTCCTCCAAATCTTTGCCTTACCTGGCCTTCAGTCATGTCTATGCCTGTGACGTGGCCCTTCTCACCAACCAGTTGGCTAAGTGCATAGCAATCTCTGCCACTTCCACTACCCAAATCCAAAATCCAGCAGTTTTCCAGACACTCAGGGATGACCAGACCACAGCCATAATACCTGAGAAATGGAAACTACAGATTTTTTTCCCATAGACTACTAGAAAATATGAAAACACTAAATCTTATACCTTCCTCTTTTTTTTTCTTTTCTCTTATCACTCATTCATATTTCTATTTAATTGTTTAGTCTCCCCCTCTAAATTGGAAGCTGCAAGAAGGCTGGGACCACATCTGCTTTCCCACAGTATTTTTGGGCACTGTGCTAGGTATTACAAGTTAAATAAACCATTTAAAATATTTGCTGAATAAACACATTTGGAGCCAGGTGCTGTGGTGCACACTGGAAATCCCAGCTACTCAGGAGGCTGAGGCAGGAGAATCCCAAGTTCAAAGACAGCCTCAGCAACTTAGCAAGATAATGTCCCAAAACTAAAATTTAAAAAAAAAAAAAAAAAGGGCAGAGCTCAGTGGTACAGCACTTGCCTAATATAAATGTCAGGTCCTGGGTTCAATCCCCAGCACCACAAAAGAATAATATTTGGACATTAGCTGCTTAGCATCTAATCCAGGCGCAGGACTGAGCTATTTTTTGAGGAAAAAAATTCTTTTCCCCAGGTGCATTTACTCTAACTTGGAAGGTGAAACATAAGCACAGAAAACATTTTTCATGATTAATTGACAAACTAAGTGTCACAGGAGTGAGTGCCATAGCAGTTTGGGAAGAAGGTGCTCAAGGATTAGAGGCTTTCTAAAGTGGGTAGGACATTAGTGAGGTGCTGGAGGGCTAGAGCTGGGAAGATGGAAAGAAAAAGGAAGGCTCTCCACATTGGTAACTGCTCGCTGGCCAGGCAGTGCTGATGGCAGTGAGAAATGAACAGTCAGAGGAAGCCAAAGCCAGTTAGGAAGGAGGGCCATACTAGGACAGTCTTGAAGGTCAGGTTCCAGGATTATGACTGTGTCCTGTAGTGGGAAGGGAGGGAGGGGTGTCTTTGGAGGTTCTTAAGCAGAGCAGTTAAGATGATCAGTGCTGAACTTTGGGAGGCTTACAATAGACAAGGCAAGCAGGGTGACCTGGTGGAGATGGCTTAATTCCTTAATGCCTGGCATCACTATCTTTTGGGAAAGCTACAGTCTGGAGGCTTCATGGGTCAGGGAATTCTACCTTAAGGTAACTTCTTCGTGCACATTCTGCAGGGCTTCCCTGATGTGCTTGGGTACAGGCCTGGCCACGGTGACGCAAGCATTAGTCTGGAGGTCCTTCGATGTCTTCAGCACCTGCCCGTAGTAGTTCTAACCCAGGGTGGAGACGGGTGAGGCGGGGAAAGGGTGTCTGCAGGAGAGGGCTCCACCACCAACCCCTACACTCCCTCCCAGGCCTGGCTGACCCTTGCCCCCTGGCAAAGCTCCAAGCCTGGGCTTAGCGCTCCTAGGGGGCAGGAGTAGGCCTCGCGGGCTTCCAAAGGCCAGGGCTCTTGCCTAGCGGAGTCCCTGTGGGCCCTTCCTGGCCCTACCGCTCCCACCTGCACGTCCTTCCGGATGTCCGCCTTCTGGCTCTCAGCGTCGCGGGGGGCGGCCACTGCCAAGGGAGGAAAGGGAGCTGGAAGAGTGAAGGTGGGGGCGGGCTCGGGCGGGGGCGACGGACCCAGGGCTGGCTGAGGGGCCGGCCGCGCGCCTCGCGGAGGGCGGAGG